TTCTGAGTTGTGCTAGGCTTAAGAATTGTAGTTTTAGAGTATGAGACTCGTAGCGTTATCCGTTCTCCAAAAATTCGAAAAAAATCGATCATCTAAAAAATCTGAAAAAATTCTGGGATACTCTAGAGAGATTATATTTTATGTTCCAATAGTTACTTTAGTCATTTATTAACAATTTTTTGCAATAACAATTTAAATTTGCCGAAATCGACAAAAAATGTAATTTCGTAAAAAAAATTCATAACTTAACAACATATTAAAATTAACAAAAATATTTTCAGGTTTTTTTAGATGAAACTATTTTCTTAAAAAAAAAAGTTCTATATACTGATTTAAAAAAGTATAATTATTTGGATGATTAAAAATAAAGATGATTGAAATATATTTCTGAGGTGACAAACATTCAAGAAAAAGATGATTTCTTACAAAAATTAATCTTTATTATAGGAAAATTGGCGGAAATAATTACAAAATGTCATGACAAAATAAAGTGAAATTGCTTCGTCGTTTAAGCCTAGTATAACTCAGAACAAAAAGATCTCAGTTGGAACAAGAAAGGAAGCATGTGTTTTCTCTTGACGTCGGGTGCTGTCAAATCGATTTTTTTTCGAATTTTCGGAGAACGGATGACGCTACGAGTCTCATACTCTAAAACTATAATTCTTAAGCCTAGCACAACTCAGAACAAAAAGATCTCGGTTGGAACAAGAAAGGAAGCATGTGTTTACTCTTGACGTCGAGTACTGTCAAATCGATTTTTTTACGAATTTTCGGAGAACGAATGATCTTATGAGTCTCATACTCTAGAACTATAATTCTTAAGCCTAGAACAACTCAGAACAAAAAGATCTCGGTTGGAACAAGAAAGATAGTATAAGTTTACTCTTGGTCCGATAGACTGTTTGTCAAAAAACTTTTTTTTAATTTTTCGGGCTTATAATTAAACTTATTGATTTGTGCTTTTGGAACAATGTTTGGAACAACTAGAACAATCTATTGCGGTATCAGAATGTTCGATTTTCGAAAAGTGGGGTGCCAGCTCAAAAAATCATTTTTCTTGTTTTATTCGAAAACCGTTTCGAATGAAGCAATATCATTTTGGAACAATGTAGTACAAAGTCAGAACAATCTGGAACAACTTTCAAAATTATAAATTTCAAAAAGTGGGGTGCCAACTTCATACACTCCAGGCTTCTTTCGGTGCTTATTCTTCTCCGTAACGGGCAACGTCGAAACTACTCTCTTCGTCCGGCGGTTAAGTACGTTTCCACGATTAATACCTGCTTTACGAGATACAAAGATCAATCGAGACGCTCTCGCTACCGAAAGCAAGCCTGCTTATCGATCAATCGCGTTGGAAGCACGCGCGAACGACACGGTGTGCGAGCACGTACGCGGCACGCACGTGCGTGCAACACGCGCACGTATGCAGAAACGAGACGCGGATTATTCCGCCGGGCCGCGAGCTTGACCTTCGGTTGAAAGGCCCCCTCTAATTCCACCTTTTAACCCCTCGTCACCTTCTCCTCTTGCCGGGGACCGGCGAAGGTGAGCGGCAAAACGCGCGTATTCTCCTCACCTCGAGCGCAATGCATCTCGATGCATCTCGATGCATCTCGCGCACTCGACGGACTTTCTACCGTCGAGCAGCAGCACGTCGAATAATATGTATCTCACGTCGGTATTTTAAATAGCGTTACTACCGCGCGTAGCCAGCGCGAATACCGGACGTCTCATTCATGACGGCGCAGAAATAATCGAAAGTAAGCGAGCGGCCTGCCGTCAAAGCGCATTCGCTTATGCAGAACTGCTCGGCGGCGGCGGTGACGGCAACAGCGGTGGCGGCGGCAGCAGAGATCTCGCAGAAAATGTAATAGAGCGTAAATCATCGCGTCGATTTGCCTTTCCTGTTCCGCTCTCCCTCCTGCCCTTCCTCCACCTCTCTTTCTCCTGTTCTCCGTCATCGTTTCTTACGGATCGGCGTAATCGCATCTCGATGTACTACTGTGTTCAAAAAGTAAGACCAATTTAAAATTTTTTTTTTAATCTTTATTTATTATTCCAAATCTATTTCGTCGCCTTCAAAGTAATCCCCCTCAGACACAATACACTTATGCCAACGTTTTTTCCAACCCTCGAAATAGTTGTTAAAGTCGATTTCCGAAATGGCCTTCAAAGCTTTCTTTAATTCAGCTTGTATCTCTTCAATCGAGTCAAAACGGTGTCCCTGGAGCGGTCTTTTGAGTTTAGAGAGTAGCCAGAAGTCACACGGTGCTAAATCAGGTGAATATGTGGAACGATATGGGTCGAATTTTTAGCGAAATGGTCTCGAAGAACCAATGCAGTGTGAGATAACGCATTATCGTGGTGAAAAAACCAAGAGTTGTCTTTCCACAATTCCGGCCTCTTTTTACGAGCTTCCAAGTCTTGACGGTTATGATGTGAAATTTGACACAGATGTCTGTCACAGTGCTACCAATTTAGAAAAAAAATATTTCTGACATTCGATATACCCGCGCAATTTAAATTGAAAATTGGTCTTACTTTTTGGACACAGTATGAGCTCGTCTACAATACACAAAATAAGCTTGGCGTAAAAAAGATTTGGAGGAGTGAGAAATTCAAACAATTCATTTCGGAAAGTTTTCCCACCCTGTCTAAGATGTGACAAAACACGCTGCAGCTTCTCTCTCTCTCTGTCACCCACTCGCTCATTTCCTCCCTACAAATGACGGATGATGTCCTAACCCTGACTTGAGGAACTCGCACACTTATACTCTTGAATATATTGCTCAAGAGAAATACTTCCGGTGTAAGGAAGCCGAAGTATAGGCGTAAGCAAGATAAATTGTTTGTATTCCTTCCTCTTCAACCTACGCCAAGCTTACTCCGCATATTGTAGACGAGCCTTTAACGAAAGCTGATTACTGCTGGCGCGTTATTAACACGAGCGGCTTGAGCGGCTCTCCTCTCGGAACGTGCGGGAAAAAGTCTATCGTTTACACCCGCGGACGTTTAGTGGCGCTCGTTAAACCGGTTACCGGTGAGTTTTCCCGCAAGTGTCCGGGCAGCGTGGAGCATATTGGGAAGTCTCGCTTTCCGCGCGGCTAATCGCCAGCCACGCGACGCGCACTGTGTATCCAATTAGCGGCCGCTATTTGCACACGGACGCTTATTAAGCGATTATAAGACGTTTCACCGGGGACGCTAATTGCGGGTTCGCGCGGCCCCGCGACGGCTCGACCTTATATCGCGCCTTCGTCGTCGCTCTTGTTAGGTAAATTGATCCGCCGCGAAATCGGGACGATCTCGCCGGCCGCGGCCGGCGCGTTGTGACTTTACGCCGACACGGAGCCGCGTGCGCGCGAGAGAGCACGCTTGTGGCTATTAAACGAGCGCGAAGATACGATCAATTAGTGCGCGCGGCCCCGTGCGAGAAGTGACGCCGTGTTTTCAGCGGGGAATGCGCCTACCGCGGAAGCCGCGCGCGAAACGCACGCGTGACTAGTTTGCTCGCGCGCCCGCGAGCCAAAACGTCGAGCCGAGTGACGGACGAGATCTGAATTTCGCCGGCGGGCTGACCGCGAAAGTTACGCGATCGCGGGAAAATTCCGCCACGATAAATCCCCCGCGTGAAATTAATTGGCCCGCGGGAGAGATCTCGTTGCTTA